AATCTTGCGTACCATGTGATGTTTATGAATGTATGTACTTGTGCTGGTGTATGAATAAAAACTGGACCGGCTGTCTATTGAATTCATGATTGTGGTTACCTCTGGGAGAAGAGTAACTGAGGTAGGGAGGGAAATTAATTCTACATTTAAAATATTCCCAAAAGATATGGTTATTTTGGTTTGGGGGTTCATGGGCATTGGTTATATTGACATATATGCTTCTATTAACATTTTCATGATAAAACATTCCATGTGGTATTTCCTAAGGAGAGAAGTTCCAACTAGGAGCCATACATTTGTCACGACTCAGAATGAGACTGAAGCTGTTCTAACACACATCTGTATTTTATGATGTTATTCTGTGAAAAATGAAAGTTGACTAAATCTTGAACAAGAGGAAACCTTCAGGTTGACCCGGCTCTCAGGAAACTCAAACAGCTCACAGGTTAAGAGTCAAGACCCCAGCAGCAGACTGACTAGGCCAAACCCTGGCTTGACATCTTCTAGCTCTGAGGTCTTGGATGAGTGAACTCCTCTTAGCCTCAGTTTCCTATCTGTAGAATGAGATAGGCACTGTCTCAGCTCTGTGGTGAGGGTCCTATCAGTCTACACAACAGAGATTGTTGCTATGCAACAAAGATTAGCTGTCAATATTTTCACCATCACTCCCAGGAACAGCCTCAATCCTTTCGTTGTACTGCTTTCATTTCCACCTCCAAGTCATTGTGAATGCCGTTTCTTCAGCCTGGAATGTTCTTTATTTCTATCGTCATTTCATCTGGTGAACTCTTTTGCAGAGGAGTTTTCTAAGAATTCTCTCGGCTTCTTCAGAGAAGCCTCTCGTTCGTTCTTCCCCACCTTGGGACAGTTCCTACTCAAACTGCAATTGTCCGTTGAAAGTTACCCAGAGGGGTTAAGAGCACAGGTTCTGGAGTTGCAGACACATGGATTCAAAGTAGAATTCCACTCCAAGCTTGTTCTGTGACTTCGGACAGGTTATTTATCCTCTCATGAAGCCTCTTAGCATGTAGTATTTGCTCAATAAAAAGTAGTTTAAAAACATCCTAGTTAAAGTGATACATAGTGTATTATTGCAAATTTTTGTATTCTGTTATTTTAATCTAACATTTCATCACAACCTGTCAAAAAGATTTTTATAATTATTTTTAAAGGATAAAAGTTTCAAAAATAAAGAGAATAATAGAGCAAACATTACTATACTCATTAAAAAAGTTACATGTTTTGCCATGTATAATGCACTCCTGTGTATAGTGCTCACCCATGTTTTTGGCCCAGACTTTCAGGAAAAAAATCCTTCATTTAAATTTTTTAATTCAAATTTTTGTTTATTTATATTTAGAGACAAAACTGATTATCATATTCTAGGGTATTATTTTGCACACGTATATCATTATTGCTTTTTAGAGTTACACTTTTAATGCATAAGCATAAACAAAAGAATAAAAATATACAGATGTGGAATTAGTACTATCCACATATAACGTACATCCTTATTTTTCCCTCAAAAATTTGGGCAAAAAGGGTGCATTATACATGGCCAAATACAGTACTTGGTGAACTACTCTGTCCTGGATTGTGAACTTTTTCTTCCTCACTACCGTATCGTTAGTATCTACAACAATCTTTGACTTAGAGTAGGCATTGGGAAATTACTTATTGACTAGATGAATAAAGTTACCCAGAAGGTGAAAGCTTTTAGAGTGAATATTTTCAGGAAATGAACTTGACTCAATGTACTTTGACTAAATGCATCTAGGATTATATACTTGTATAAAAATATATTGCACACGTATTGGTTTATTTGCCATAATAAATGATAAGGTAACCCAATGAAGGTTTGCGTCACATTTGTTCCTTCAGCAGTTTTAGAGGACCATCTGGCGATCCGGGGGAAAGCGGGAACATTTCCCGTACTTTAACCTTAAGGTTTGATTTCTTTATCAGATTGTTTATTATGAAATCACTTTTTTCCTTTTTTAAGATTTCATTTATTTATTTTTAGAGAGAGAGGAAGGGAGGGAGAAAGAGAGGGAGAGAAACATCAATGTGTGGTTGCCTCTCACATGCCCCCTTACTGGGGACCTGGTCTGCAACCCAGCCATGTGCCCTGACTGAGAATTGAACCGGTGACCCTTTGGTTTGCAGGTTGGCACTCAACCCATTGAGCCATACCAGGCAGGGCATCACTTCTGTTCTTTTAAAAATAGCAAAAGAGGAATTAGCCAATAAGAGATGATACTTCCCAGGGAGCAGAATAAGCTAGGCTCAACCAGAATAAACTGATGTAATAAAAAAGGGCTTTTGTAAGTCAAATGGAATCGTCACAACTTTTAAGCAAACTAAAACAGTAAGCCCATTGGAGGGGAGACTTTCAAAGCTGAAGAAAGGGCAAGGAGCTGCTTCTTCCTTAGTTGTGGGCTTGTTTACTCTGGGAGAGAAACCCAAAAATGCTTTAAAGTGCTTTGAGGAAGGTCTTTGTGTTCGATATTAGCATAATTATCCAGGAAAGATATCACATGGGATTTTGAACTGATTGTAAGCCCAACTTTATTAGCTAAGTAGGGAAGCAGAGCAAAAATACGAGCAAGCAAGGGTGGGGGCTTTCTAAGCATTGAAGGGATTTTTATGACTCAGATGGGTGGTAGGGAGATGAAATTCCAAGGTTAGAAAAATAATGCAAAGCTCTACCTTGATAAAGCACACTATAGATTATAGCCTTGGAAGACTTTCCCCTTCCCCACCTTTGGATACTTTATAACACAAATCAGTGGGAACTATTACTTTGTAGTCGTATTTTCTCTTATCCTACTGTTAACTGTAGTATACTGACATCATAAATAATTGTACTTTGAATGCATACATTCATGCTTTTATTCATTCATCAGAATGTGCTTATTTATCTGCCAAGCTTGCAGTAAGAGCAACATTTAAAAAAAAAATAGAAGTGAAACATCTTATCTCTTCCTTAGACTTGTGCAAAATTACTTATTGCTCAGAAGTATGATCTGGCCAGTCCTGCAAGATACTAAGATACCTTTTGTTTTTTGGACACTTGAATGTGTGGGCTTGCAAAATCCTGCTTATAACCAGTTAACTTTTTATTAATCATCTGCCCCAAAATCAGGGGTAAAGAGGACTTTTAAAGTCATGTGGTTGAAGACTGCACTTGGCAAACACCGGCTTAGATAACATTCTAGTGCTTGTAATCAAGCTACAGCCTTGACAAGACTCACAGTTTTAACCCACAGCACTGGCATCGCACGGGAGCTTGTAGAAATGCAGATTCTCGGGTCCCCCAGACCTACTGAATCAGAGTTCAACGAGATGCTCAGGTGATGCCGATGAATATTCACGTTTATGGAGCACTGCTCTTCAAATCCCTCCCAAGTGGTTGTTAAAACAGAATATCTTTAGTGACAAGTGATTCATTATTCTGCAAAGCAGCATGTAGTCATCTTGAGGCAGCCTAACTACTAACAAGTTCTTCCTTACAGAACTCAAACCTAACTTCTTGAATGTTGTGTTCACTGGCCACGGCTTAATCACCGGTAGCCTTCAGAACCGGGCCAATGCCTCTTCTTCATGAAGACCATCTAAACATGAGAATGGGCTATTTTCTTTCCTCCCTGAGCTAAGCTTCTCCAAGTGTAACAAAGTCCCACTCCCCCCAGTTGTTCTTGGCAGAGTACTGAGGTTTCTTTACTCACTGACTTGGACTAGAAAATCTTAAAAGGGCACTTCCAACTTCAGTATTGTGATTGCCCCCTTTATCTCAGCTGGTAATAAAGAACAATAATAGGCAGAAGGCACTAGAAATTCTGGAGCCGTGTTTATATACGCTTAGGGAGAACGCTGCTGAGGCACACACACCTGCCATGATTTCCTTAGGTTCAAAGTCTGTGTCACAGTGGAGACTTCAGAGACTTCCGTTCTAACGATGGCCCCGGCCCCTAACCTGCGACGGTTTGCCTTCCAATTTATAAATGTGTCAGCTACTTAGCACTTGAAAAGTTAAATGCATATGTAGAAATATATGAAAATAGGCATTCCTCTGTTTCTCTAAATTTTAAGATTTAAGATTTTAGTTTTAAGACCTGGATTTTAGATTGAGATTAAGGTTTTTAAGCTTTTCAGAGAAAAATTGCTGTGGTCCACAAGTCAGCACATGAACTGATTTTGTGTTTCTTTAGCGGCTTTCAGTCATGTATCACACACACATCAAACACGTAGAAATAACGTCAGTGTACTCAGCTTTTGAAAAATTTCTTTCTTGGTAGAATCTAAACATGTTTTGATGTTACTATATGATTTTCATAATAAAGCATAACTAGTTGCTTGTTGCCTTGTTGCGTAACATTAAGAGTTCAGGGAGGTGGGGGCGGGGGGGTTGAGCTGGGAAGGGAGTAAAAGAAAGAATACTGTAGTTGAAAAATAATTTAAAAATAAATTAAAAAATTGCAAAAAAAGAGTTCATAGGTGACTTCTGAAATCAAACCTTTGACATATTTTTGTTGGTTTTCATATTTGTTTCTCAAGAATTTTTTTAAAAGCCCACTTTCTGCTAACACAGGAAATGCAGAGCTGCAAGTGGGCTGTGGAGGGTGGTTTTTGCATTGAGGTTAGTCTCATGAAAGACAAGCGGTCGCAGGAGCATTTAAAGGCTTTTTTTTCAAAAAAATTTTTTTTGAAAAAGTGCCCACAGCACGTTCTTAAACTATTTGCTATTTTTACTGATTTCCCCACGCTTTCTCTCGCCACTTTCTTCTTGTTTTCATTCTCCTTGACCTCCTCCTCCTCCTCCTCCTCCTCCTCCTCCTCCTCCTCCTCTTCCTCCTCCTCCTCCTCCTCCTCCCCCTCCCCTCCCCTTCAGAGGGACTGCTCCACCTCTCACCTCCGCGCTTAACAATAAAGCTGTGTGTGTGTGGAGAGAAGCTGAAAAATAAGACAGATGGTTCTTTCATTACCAGGTTGCTTTGGATTAATTGAGCTGGATATGTTATTTTTTTTTAAGGAGACTGAACTGGATCCTGTGGCTAACCAGTCATGAACTACAGTAATGTAATATACTTGTATGTTGCTGGTTTTGCTGTTGGATTTTTTGTTTTGTTTTGTTTTGTTTTTGGTAATTTCATTATCCTGCAAAGCATTTTAGGAGGGATCAGGAGTGAGTTTAATTAAAAGTATTTTTATTAAAAGGTTTCTAATGGAATAAAATTTTTCTTGGGTAGCGGAGCCACTCTTATAAACGTGCTGTCTCTGTGTTTTATTTCAGGTCTTGCCAGAGAAGAAGCAGCGCAGCCTCTGTCCTGGATAATTTGTAGCGGTACCAGAATTTCGCAAACAGCCTCCTGAAAATTCCAGCACGCTTACCACAGCCTTCACCTTCGGGACCAGAGGGCCGCTGGGAAACAGATTTCTTAAAAGTGCAGGTAGGTAAAGGTACCATGGCCACTGTCTCAAGTAAGCTCGGACACTTGAAATGTTCTTATACAATGATACAATGTTTCCATCTCAAGCAGGTGACTTTAAAATACCCTCTCCTTTGTCTGTCACTGCCTGCTTATCTGTTACGAGTTTAACATGAGGCCAAAGGGCCTGCGAGGCTATTAATATAACCAATGACTCTACTGCAGCATACCCCAAAGTTGAGTTACGGAAGTGTTAAATATTATTTTTATTCTCAATCTGAATGGGCCTTTCTTAGGACTGTTTTAAACCAACCTGGAAGTAAAAGAGTAAGAAAACTCTGAAGTTGAAACTAGAATGTGACATGAATCACAAGTATTACATAAATTGCTGTTAAGAAGCTGTGTGGTTTTGGGCAAGATGCTTAGCCTTTCTGTGCCTTTTTTTCCTCAGTAGAATAAACTTTAATTACCCCTCTGTTTTTAAATGCTACAATTAATAATAATTTTATTATTAAAATACCATAATACAAATTTTAGGTATATTCTCCTTAGTATCCCTGGAACCTCCATTTATAAATTTAGTCTGAGAATGCTCTGGAGCTCAACTGTGCACCCAGAATTAGCTTGATGTTTTACCAGTGAATCCATACAGTCTTTCTGGTTTGTGAAGGTTTGTCAGGGAACAATTATCCTAGTAGTGGGCTTATTTCATTACTGTTTTATTTGGGAATCATTCTGTGAAGGACACTTGCTTAGTGACTGAGAACTTCATGATTCAGTGGTGCTGGTGAATTTGGACATTTATAATGGTTTTGGGATTGAGTCCTTGAGATTCTCTTGATCTCTTCATAATTCAAACCAAAATTATCACGAGTGGTTGCAAAGCCTTCTCCCAGTGACCTGACCACAGGGCTTGCTGAACTCCTGAGACCGTGATCCCAGGCTGGACGCAGGGCTGGATCGGCAGGTTTCTCACTGACAGAAATGCCTTAATTTAGTGAAATCTGGGCTCTAATCGTCTTGGTTATTTGTGGAACTGCCTTTCCTGTCAATCTTTACATTTCCTGGCATCCAGAACATGGAAATGCTTTCAATCTTTATAGCATAATGGTGAAGAGCATAGATTCTGGTGTGTGTCTGGGTTCAAATCCCAGCTGCTTACTATTTGGCTGGTCTTGGGTACGTTATAACTTCTCTGGGCTTTACTGTCTGTGTCTGTATGATAGGGATGCCGGTTAGTACCTTTTGTAAAGGGTGGTTTTGAGGATGAAGAGGATTATACATCCAAAGTATTTAAAATAGTTTTGTCACATAGTGTTCAGAAAATTTAAACTCTTTATTGCCTTCCATTGTGGTGGTTATTCTTCTGTCTCACTCTCTAGTCTAGGCCCAGGGATAGTCAACTCTTTTTTTACCTTGTTCGACTTTGCTGACTGACCCTGGTATTTGCTTCTCAGTGTACAACACAACATTCAATTCCTTCTCAACAGAATGGATCCAAACCAGAGTGAAAATGAAACCTACTCTGCAACTCAGACTGTTTGTAGAGTTCTCGATTTTATTCTTTGCTTCAATTTGATATGCTGATTACGAATCTGGATTATTTATTTTTATTGATTCAGAGAAGTTTTATTATGAAAAGATCCTATAGCCAGAAATAGGGTATAATTCTAAGACGAGTTTTTCTTGTGAATTATTACTATGTTGAATGATTTTCATTTCATATTCAGAAGAAGATAAATAAGGCTTCCTATCACAGATATTTTGAAATGTTGAAATGAATGTGCAGAAATAATAGTTAGCAATAGTAATGAAAGCTTAGTTTTTTTTTGAGGCTATTATTCACACAATGCTTCAAGTTCTTTAGGATCTTTTTAAGGATGTTATATAGTTTTTTTTTTTTAATGAGGTCTTGGTGAATGGGCAGCTAATATTGGGTTGACTAAAAAGTCCGTATGTTTTTTTCTGTAAAATAAAAGACATATTTGTCACTTTTACCAATAACTTTATTGATTTATATATTTTGGGTTATGTTGGCTGTTTCCTGTGCAGTACAACATTGATTGTTCTCAATTAATGTCTCAATTTGATCACTATCAACTTCAACTGGTCTACCCGACAGTGGAGCATTGTCCAGCGAGAAATCTCCAGCACAGAACTTTGCAACCCACTTTTGACATGTTTGATCAGTCACAGCATCTCCTCCATACACTGCACAAATCTTTTTTTTTAATAAAGATTTTATGTATTTAGAGGGGAAGGGGAGGAGAGAGGGAGAGAAATATCAATGTATGGTTGCCTTTTGTGGGTCCCCTGCTGGGAACTGGCCTGCAACCCGGGCATGTGCCCTGACTGGGAACCAAACCGCCATCCTCCGTTTGCAGGCCCGCGCTCAATCCACTGAGCTACACCAGCCGGGGCTGCACAAATCTTTTTATTTTTTTTGTGTTTCGGTTGCATTTTCACCTTTCTCAAAATGAAGCAAAATATGCCAAAGATCTTGTCTCTTTTCTTCCATCTTCAGTATTAAAATGGCTATGTAAAATTTACCAATTTTGGTAAGTTTTTAAAAAATGTGCACACTGATGTGACAGCTGTCACAATACAATCTAACAGAATTACTTCAAATGAGATCGAAGACAACTAAGCACTTCTCGAGCCTTCTTATGGAAAAAAAACAAATGAACTTTTTGGCCAACCCAATACTTTGTTAACTTTAAAAGAAGAATTAAAACAAGATTAGGACAGTTCTTACCATGTGGGAGATGTATATCTAAGTGCTCTGTATTTACTACTTACCAGAGCTCTATTAGGTTGCACCATTATTCCCATTCTATAGGAGAGGAAACTGAGGTATGAAGAGGTTAAGCAACCTCCCAGGGTCATAGAACCAGTTGGAGGTAGGGCTGAGACTCAAACCTGAGGGCTGATAGCCAAGCAGATGACCTTGACCCTAATTATGCTGCTACCTACAAAGAATAAATTGAATGAAGAAGATGAGAAGATGAAGTAACAGCTGCTAGAAGTCTTCAGTGCCAGGCTAAGTGATTTTATGTGTATTTGGCAGACCATGAAAGCCCCTGTGGGGCGGGTGACTGTGTGAGAGTCAGGCTTAGAGGATTTCATGCCAGGTGCCACATGTTGGCTGGTTTAAAGGAAACAAAGATTAGAAATTATTGCTAGTAGCTGAGAAGTCATGCGAACGTGGGTTTAGGAAACAGGATGAAGTTAAGAACTTGAGAACACCTGCATTTAGGTGTGCTGAGGAGGAAGAGGAGACCTAGAAGTCCAGGCCGAGGAGTTGGAGGGCGAGACCCAGGCTGGAGCAGTGCCACCCAAGGGAGGTGGTTCAGGACCCCAGAGAGCAGAGAGGACTGGAACAAAACGAAGACGAGTGCTTGTCACGCACCCACTGTGAGGCTGGAATGTTCTCATAGGGGAATCCACACGAAAATGTTCTGAGCTACAGATAGTGCTGCTGCTAAGTGAGGTAACCTTTGGCAAGATTTTAAATTCCTCTAAGTCTTGGCTGCCTGTCCTGGAATATGATGACTTAAGACTTTACTCTAATTAAATGTCCTGAATCTTTGGCGATTTTCCAGCTCTCGGATCTGCAGTGCTTGGGCGAAAATTGCGAGTAGCAATGATTGGAATTTGGTGTAAAGGTTTGGCTGGCGCTTTGGCTAAAACTTGCAGGTGACTCGGAGGGCGATGTAGAATGAAGTGTGTGCCCTGTAGGTGTGATCTGAGAGGAGTCCTGGTCACAGGTAGGGCACAGTAGGCTTCCAGGTGTGAATACTCGAAAGATGGAGTTCATTCCTGTGTTCCGCATTAATTTGTCTTTTCCATACAAACAACTGTAAACCTACTTTGGCCCACTGCTGTGTATTTCTTCTCGGAAATACCAGCAGTGCCTTAGTGATACAGGTAGTAAATGGAAGGATAAGAAAACAATATACAAAGGAAAATGTCTACTGAATTTACAAAAAAACTTATAAACACCTCATACAATGGCGAGGGAACGTTTTTGCTACTTTTCAGAGAGTCTGATTAGCTTCTTAAGGGAAAATTCTGTTGATTGGAAATTTTAGAAGATCAAGCCCAAAGGACTTTTATTTTTTATTTTTTAATATATATTTTTATTTTATTGATTATGCCATTACATTTGTTCTATTTCCCCCCTTCATTCCCCCCAACCGCACACTTCTCCCCCCATTCCCCCCTTTAGTTCATGAATACGTGTCTCAAGTTCTTTAGATTCTATATTTCCCCTACTATTCTTACCCTCCCCCTATCTATTTGCTATCTACTGTCTATGCTACTTATTTTCTGTACCTTCTCCCCCCTTCTCCTTCTCCCACTCCCCTGTTGCTAACCCTCCATGTGATCTTCATTTCTATGGTTCACTCCTGATCTAGCTGTCCTCTTAATTTGCTTTTGTTTTAGGTGTGGTTGTTAATAATGTGAGTTTGCTGTCCTTTCACTGTTCATCTTTTTTATCTTCTTTTTCTTAGGTAAGTCCCTTTAACATTTCATATAATAAGGGCTTGGTGATGATGAACTCCTTGAATTTGATCTTATCTGAGAAGCACTTTATCTGCCCTTTCATTCTAAATGAAAGCTTTACTGGATAGAGCAATCTTGGATGTAGGTCTTTGGTTTTCATGACTTGGAATACTTCTTTCCAGCCCCTTCTTGCCTGTAAGGTCTCTTCTGAGAAATCTGCTGACAGTCTGATGGGAAGTCCTTTGTAGGTGACTGTCCCCTTATCTCTTGCTGCTTCTAGGATTCTCTCCTTCATTTTAATCTTGGCTAATGTAATGATGATGTGCCTTGGTGTGTTCCTTCTTGGGTCCAACTTCTTTGGGACTCTCTGAGCTTCCTGGATTTCCTGGAAGTCTATTTCCTTTGCCAGAATGGGGAAGCTATCCTGTATTATTTGTTCAAATAAGGTTTCCACTTGTGACTGAAGGACTTTTAAAAGAGATAAAATCAAAGGGCAGATAAAGAGCTTCCAAGAT